GAACTAGAATAGTACATAGCATATAGTAGGCAATCTGTGTTTGTTGAATGAATCTAAAAGTGAATGCTGGTAACAGGTTAAAGTGGGGATTGAAGCAGGTCTCTGTTGGTGGTGATGGGGAGGTAATGTGGGAAGAAAGTATGGGCTCCGGTTTCTTTTAAGGTTTTGTGCAGGGAAGGGGAATTGGGAATGTGGATGAGAGGTTTGAAATGTAGCTAAGGAAGGCCTCCCAGAGGAAGTGACATTTGAGTCACTTGGTTGAGTGAACAAGGTAGGGCGCTGTCCAGGGAAGAACATTCCTGGCAAGGGGACCGGTGTGCCTACTGTGTTAGAGGAATTGCCAGGAGAGGTGAGCATGGCTCAGGTGGAGTGAGTGAGGGGACCCTGAGGAATATACTTAGATTAACACCCCACTAAAGTGAATATCGCTCATCTAAAATGCCTTCTGGGTTATATTTATCTTTATTCCTACATTCATTTCTTCCAGAGTTGCCTCCCTTAGGGTTTCAGTACATCTCTTTTCAAACCTTTCCAGGGTCTCAGTGTTAGACCAAATAGAGCCTCAGACCTGCTGAGATTTCTAAATCTTCGTGATCAGGCCAGTTGGTGAACAGTTTACTTGAGGAGCCTCCTCTCACAGGCCAACACAATTCTGAACTGGTGGTCATTTAGACCAAGACCATTCTTTATAACAAAGCTCTCCTTGTTATGTCACAGGATATATGAGCCTTTCAAATAGATTTTAATTTTATGAGACTTGATGTCTTTAAGTTGTCAGTGCCTGCCCCCTTGTCTGGTCTTTTTGATATATTGGTGTGGTCTATTATTGTGATGAGAAATCTAGTTGAATCTCTATTAATTATAATTAGGGGAACCCCTAGAAGTTTATTCTTTCTAGAAGATGAAGATTTGAGTCTGTGTAGCTTGCTCTCTTTAAAATGCGTGGTTTCTTATGGCAAACTTTCAACTTTCTTTCAGGTTATTTTATGTAGTAAAAATGTCCTATCAGTCCCTCCTGTTCTTAGTATATTTTTTGTTTGGGGAGTGGGAGGATCAGGTCTCTTTGTGTATTCTTTCCTGATTACACACGAGAGTACACATTCACACCCATAAACAGACATGTCATTATAGAAGGAGCAGAATAACCATATGACTAGTAACACTGCCTTACATGTTAAATCAGTAGCAATAAATTCAACATATCCCTTTTGTATTACAACTAGCATTTGACAACTTTTATTTTTTTCTAAGTGTTGAACTCATAGCCTTTCATAGATTAAGCTTATACCATTAAGTAATTCTTTTCTTTGATGTTCAAATTGTACCTGATCAAGGGATCAAGCTGATCAATTTCATTCCTCTGTTCTTTGATCACTACCCTAGATTTTCTTGAAAGCATTCTTGCTTTCTGGCAACAACACCCTCTATTTATTTCTTGTCCATAAGCATGGACTCAACCATCATTTGAGGATTTCACGTTCCTTTGAGTAGAGTAGTCATTCACTTATTCCTTCAATATACATTGGGTGCTTACTATGTGCTACACACTAGTTTGGTTCCTGGGAATACAGCAGGGAACAAAGCAGACCAAATCTCTGCCAAAGCTTACACAGTTTACATTCTAGTCAGGGGAGACAGACGAAAACATGTATATGATGTAGTGTGTCACAAACCATTCTTCAGAGAACAGCATGGAATGCAGATAAGAAAAATTGTAGTTACAATTTTAAATAGAATGCTGGATTGGATGTGGTGTGTGAGTGAAAGAGCAGTTCAGGTTTGGGGCTGAAAAATTGGAAGGATAAAAAAAAAGAAAAACTGGAAGGATGGAGTTGCCATTATCTGAGATGGAGAAGACAGGGGCGAGGAGTAGAATTAGAGAAGATCAGGAGTTCAATCTAGGATCTGTTAAGAGTGAGCTGTTTGTTAAACATTAAGGTTGAATTTTTAAGATATAGTTAAAACTCCCAAGGCTGGAGTTCGGGAGAGAGGTCTGGACTGAATATATACATTTGGGAGACATTGATATATAAACAGGTTTATACTATTTTTTTCTAATCATCCTGTGTTGTTGCCTTCTACTTTCTTACAGTATTTCATTTCCCTAAAACTGACTCCTGCATTTACAGATAGCTCAGCACAATGAAGTCCCAATTCCTTATCAAGACATCAAGATCCAGCATGATCTAGCCCCTTCTTCTTTGATCCAGTTTTCTTCCCATCATTCACTTAATTTTCTAATACTCTCACCTGACTGCTCCTCAAAAAGCTCTTTCCTGCCGTCTGGTCTTCTTTGTGGAAAAGACCTTCGTACTGTTTAACTCTTACTCATTCTACATTCTTCAGAAAGGCCTCCCATGACCCTTTGTCATTGAGGATTCTTTGGAGTGAAAATGATCCCAGTTGGCTTATCGAAGGAATGCACTGGTTTGTGTAACTCGAACATTCCAGGGCCAAAGTGGTTTCAGGCAACTCTAGTTTCCCAGTTGCTTAGGCCTTTCTTGAGTACTCTCTGTGACACCCAACATCTAACCCTTTGGTAAATCCTGTTGACTCTACCTTCAAAATACTAGTATATCCCAAATCCAATTATTTCTCATCACCTCAACTGCTACTACTGTGGCCTGAGTCCATGTCTCACATGGACTATTGCAGTAGCTTCCTCACTGGGCTTCCTGCTTCCATACCAGCTCTGCTTATCCCCAGTCGATTCCCCATAGAGCAGCCAGATGGACCCTCTAAAATCCTAGTCAGTTCACATCCCTGCTGTGATCACATCCCACTTAAAATAAAGGCCGGAGTCCTTAACCATGACCTTGTAGGTTTTACATATCTGCCTCCTGCTCTCTGACCTCACCGCCTGCAATCCGCCTTCACTTATTCTCCAGTCACACTGTCTCTGTTGTGCCTCAGATATGCCAGGTACACCCCCACCTTGGTGCCTTTGCATTTGCTGCCCCTTGTGTCTATAACATCCATCCACCATCTATCCAGATGATTCACTTCTTCATTTTAAGTCTGTACTCAAATGCTTCTCAGTGAGACCATCCCTGAGCACTCTGATTAGAATTGCAGCCCCCACTCCTATACTCCTTCTCTTATTGTCTAATTTTTTCATCATACGTAGAACCATCTGACATACTTCGTATTTTACTCCATGATTTGTCCCTCTCAATGAGAATTTGAGCTTCACGAGGCCAAAGTTTTTGTTTGTTGTGCTTTCTGCTGTCTCCCCAGTACCTAATACACCTGGCGTTGAGTAGGGATTCAGTAATTCACTGATTCTTTGAGTTAGTGCAGCTCAGATGATGGCCAGGCATCTCTGCATAGGAGCAGGTCAGATAGTGGGTGTCCTACCACCTGCTGTGTGGAAGTCGTCCAGGACATAGGTAGCTCTTGGAATGAGGAGGAAGCCTCATCTTCTGATCATGGGGCCCACTTCGCCCTTTCTTGTTTCTTTTCTCCAGGCTCAGCGACAGCCTCACCAAGGACTCAATGAATATCAAAGCCCATATCCACATGTTGCTAGAGGTGAGAGCAGCTCACCCCACTCCCAGACTCTGTCTCCAAATGCATTTAGGGTGGTGACCTGAAGAAGGGAGAGAGCCAGGGACTGGAAGGTCCATCTGTCCCCCTCTAAACGGAGCCAAGCTGGAGCCAGGGTGGCTCTGAGGGAGGGGAGGTCAGAGCAAGCCTGGGGTGGGGCCTCTGTTCAATCTCTTCTGTGCTCTTTTTCAGGGGCTTAGAGAACTGCAAGGCCTGCAGAATATCCCGGAGGAGACTCATCATTGACTTCCCCCCTCTCCAGACATTAAAGAGCCTGAATGCCTTTTTGAGTCACACGGTCCTTCATTTTCCCCCTAACCCCTACTGTTTGCTAAGGTGCCCTGTGTCTAAAGCACAAAGTTACTAGGAGGCCCAGAGATCCAGTCTGTGGGTCATCTTTAAAGCACCCCTGAAGTCCGCCTGCATCCTGTTACCTGGCAGCATTTGCTACTAGACTTACTGCTCTGTCCCCTCTTCCATCGTCTTGGCAACCTGGGCCCCCACCTGACCCTTTTATTTTTTTTTTAATCTTGGGCACTACTCTTTTAATTACGATAGCGAATGGGCCAATTCAGGGGGGAGGTTTGTCCCCAGGGCAATTGGCTTTCACTCCTGGCCCTAAGGTTTACCCCTCTCCCACATCCTAATCATTCCTCAGGAACCTTAAATTACAACCATGCCCCCGCTCGGCCTAAATTGGCCTCACTACTGCTTCTAAATAGTTCAGTTTCCACCAGTGGGCACAGAGCCAGATCCTGCCCTCCCTGCTCCTGCCCTTAGTCTATGTTTTGTCCAGCTTCTAAGAAATACAGAGCCAAGTTCAACCCCTTTATAACTCTGGCTGCAGCTCGACCCTGCCCTCCTCGGCATTTAGTTTCCACCACTCTGCTCCTTCACTTGTCTGGCAGCTGTCCTGCCCTTCTGCCTCTGCTTCGGTCTAAATTTGTCTTTTGTAGCCAATCACTATAGAGTTACCCTGCCCGCCTAGGCAGAGCTCTGGCCCGACCCCTTTACTGCCGGCTGCTACGCCCACTTCCATATAAGTCCTGCTTCCGCTGAGCGGCAAGGAGGGCAGCACCGCCCTGTCGTGTTTTGGCAGCTGTCTAGGAGCCCCTCATCCTCCAATCAGCAGCAAGCAGAGCCCACGCACCCCAATCCTCAGAAGTCTTCCATCAACCCCGTTTGGGCCAATCTGTGCGAGGCAGGCGCCCCCAGAGCCTTGTCAGTTACCCACTGATCAGTCTTTCTTGAGCCAATCAACGTGTAGCGCCAAGGGGGCTGAGCACGCCCCCTTGAACCCCGCCATCTGCGTTCCATCAGTTCCCCTTGGGCCAATCACGTCATCGCCCTGTGGAGCAGAGCCCGCCTCCCCGACCCTGGACGCTGCGGTCAATTATGGCGCGTGGCCAATCAGCGAGCCGCGAAACGCTTGGCTCCGCCTCCACAGGCCCACGTGAGCGGTAGGGAAGCGCAGGGGCGGCCTCTAGGTGTTGCCGTTGGCGCCGCTGCCACCACCACCACAGCCACTGCCGCCGCCGCCGCCGCCGCCACCGCCGCCGCTGTCACCGCCGTCACCGCCGCCTCGTAACCCGGGCCTGGGGGGCGGTGGGGCCGCGCATGGAGCCCCCGCCCCCCGGAGCTGCCAACACCGCCGCTGCCCTCCGCACAGGTGAGCCGGGGCCTGGAGGGTGGAGGGCTAGGTCCGTGACCGCACGTCTCCTTCCCGCCCCCGCGCGAGGGATGTGGCTTGGCCGGTGGCCTGCTGGTGTTGACTCCCCACCGCCACCACCACGGCTGGTGGACCTGCCTGTGGCATTGCCCCCTTCTTTCGCCCCTTGTAATGTAGCTGACCGTGGCCTACCCCCTCTTCCTGTTTAGTAGTGGATCGGTCTGCGTGCTTACATTCTCCCCACCTCACTTTCCAGTGGATTCGTCCATGGTCTTGCGCCCACCCCCACCCCCCATCCACACTCATAGGGGACCAGTCTTTGGCATTGTCCAACTGGGACAGTCGGTCCTTCTGAGTGGATTTCTCCTTTCCTCAACTTTCAGGGGCCCCGTCTGTGACCCTGTTTGCTCCATCCCTCCGGTTCCCTGTAGTGAATCAATCCGTGGCGTTGTACCCCCTCCACTCCTCTTTAACATTAAATTAGTCTGTGAATTTGTATTCCTGCCTCCTCCAGTCCCCCAGTACATCTGTCCCATGGCTCTGTCACACACGTGCGCACACACCATTTTCCAGTGGATCAGTCTAAATGCTTGTATTCACAGCTCCCTACTTATCAGCCTATTCCCCTCTCCTCCCTCTAATGTAGACTGACACTCCTTGGGTCCTTGGGCTTCTCCCTTCCTGTTAACAATGGGTCAGTTTAGTGCTTCATATCTCCCCGTAATCAGCAGCCCAGTCCATGGCCTTGTCCCTCTCCTTTTAATCAATCCCTGTGAGATGACTCCCCCCCCCCACTATTGTGCAGCTGTGGTTCTGTTTTTCTACACCCCTTGCCCAGTAAATAAGATAAGCCTTTACACCGCCACCACCCCACCTTTGCAGTGGATCTGTTCATGAGCCTTCCGGCTATCCATGTGCTTGCAGTCACAGCCCAATGCTTTGCAATCCCTCCTGCAGGAGGGTCAGCCTGTGCGCTTTTATTTTCTCTCGCCTTTCCGTGTGGTGCATCAGTCGTGGCCGTCCGTGAACCCCTCCCTCCTTCTTAATAGTGGATCAGCTTATCTGCTTGTTGAACCCAAGTCTTTTTTACTCGAGAACACCCCCCCTCATGCACAGTGTTAACCATTAAGATGTTCTTCCTCACAGTAAATGAATATAGTAGCGATACTGCTAACAGCAGCTAACACTGAGCACCTACTAACATTTATGAGTACGAGGCAAAGTGTTTTATCTTAATGAGCTCATTTAATCCTCACCATAACCCTGCTAGGTAGGTGCTGAGGAAACTTTGGCAAGGGGAGGTTACTCAAAGGTGACCCAATAAGCACCAAGTTAGGGTGCCCCTTGGGACACAGGATAATTTTTGAGGCTCCTCTTTCTGCTCATCCCATCCCATGTGAGGCCCCACTCCTTAAAAACCAAATTATTTTTTATTGATTTCAGAGAGGAAGGGAGAGGGAGAGAGAAATAGAAATATCAATCATGAAAGAGAATAATTGATCAACTGCCTCCTGCACACTCCACACTGGGGATTGAGCCCACAATCCAGGCATGTGCCCTGACCGGGAATTGAACCATGACCTCCTGGTTCATAGGTCCCTATTCAACCAATGAGCCACACCAGGAAGGCTCCATTGCCTAACTTATCTCAGCATCCTTCCATCCCCAATCCCAGAAGCTGTGTGACCTAAGTAATTTAACTATTGTCTCTCTGCACCTGTTTCCTCGTTTGTAAAATGGGGGAGGGAGTCAGAACTAGAATCCCCCCCAGTGTAAGTAAAGAATACCTGTGAGTTAATAATGAAGCATATAGCCCTAGCTGGTTTGGCTCGGTGGATAGAGCGTCAGCCTGCAGACTGAAGGGTTCCGGGTTCCTTTCAATTATGGGCACATGTCCGGGTTGTGGGCTCGAACCCCAGTGGGGGTCCTATAGTAGGCAACCAATCAATGATTCTCATCATTGATGTTTCTGCCTCTCTCTCCCTCTCCTTTCCTCTCTCTCAAAAAAGCAAACAAACCATATATATATATACATATATATACATACACATACATACACGCAAGTAACTTCTCTGGCCTTACCTCCTACACTCCCAATTCTATTCCAGCCACACTGACCTCTTCACTTGTCCTCAAACTCACAGTGGTCCAGCCTCAGGGCCTTTACATTGGCCATTTTTCCTGCCCAGAACACTTTGTCCCCTGGTCATGGTTCCTTTTGGGACTCTGTTCAAATGTCACCTCATCCCTGACCATCTCAACCTACACACCTAGCAGGGCTGAGGCCCCCTCTCTGCTTTATTTCTTCCTTTGCCCTTTATTACTGTGGCTCACACTGTATAGTTGACCAGTTTATTGTGTTGTCTCTCCCCTTTAGAAGTCCCATGAAGGCTTACAGTTTTTGTCTGCTTAGTCCTGCTGGGTCTCCAGCACCTAAAAAATATCCCTAGTATATATATAGCAGGTGCTTAATACAAATTTATTGCACGAATGAATGGGAAAAATATAACTTCAGACAAGTCAGGGTGGGGAGCAGATGGGAATGAAGAGGGCATTTGAGAGCTAGTTAAGAGACTAGTTAGATGGGACTGTTCATTCATCAAACACTTTACTGAGCACCTAGTAAGTACCAGGCACTCTTCTAGGTGCTGGAGATGTGGGAGGGAAAAAATAGGCAGAAATTCCTGCTCTTGTGGAACATACGTTTGTTAAAAGTGGAGGAGACAGACTATATAAATAAAACAAGTAAAAGATAGTATTTTAGACAAGTGCTAAGGAAGAAAAATGAAGTAGGGAAGGTAGGAATAGAGTAGTAGGGTGGTTAAAATCTTAGGCATAGGGCAGGCCTCATTTAGAAGGTGGCTCTTGAATTAAGGCCTGAAGGAGGTCAGAGAGGGAGGGAGCCATATGTCTAGTGGAAGAGTACACTGGACAGAAGGGACAGCTGATGCAAAGGCCCTGAGCTGGGATTGCGCCTGGCATGTTCAAGGCACACAGAGGAGGCCAGTGTAGCTGGAGCAGAGTGGAGAGAGGGATTGGAGGCGAGATCTGAGATATAAGGGGAGCCAGGTGGTAAATAGGTCACAGTGATACATAAGGTTGGGGTGGAGGGGTTTGGGGAGGGAGGATGACAGACTAGCAAATAGCTAACACCTCTTGAGTGTCTCCTATGTGCCAGAGATACTTTTCTAAGTCCTTTACATATATTGACCTTTAATCCTCACAAACGCCTTTGAGAGTAGGTGTATTTTGAGGATAATGTACTCTGAGAATGAAATATCCCCATTTTACAGATTCAGAAACAGACTCAGAGAGGTTGAGTAACTTACTCAAAGTCACACAGCTAGAGCAGGGCCGAGGAGTATGAGGCTGAAGACCCAGAGAGAAGAACAGCTTTACAAGGACAGACAGGTTATTCAGTGCATTGGATCACAAGAGGAAGAATTAATTCTGCCTGGAAGATAATGGAACTTCATGATTGTGTGATAAAGGGTTCATCGTAGGGCAGGGAGAAAGGTACGTAAATATCCTCAGAAATGGGAACTGGGTGAACTCACAGGGGGTGTCCTTGATGTAGTATGCCAAGCGTGTGCCCACCTCAGAGCTTTTGTACATGCTGTTCTCGCTGCCTATCCTTCCAGGTGATCAGGCCACAAACTTAGAATCATCCTTGGTTCCCATCTCATCGCTATCTTGCATGTCAGCAAATCCCACTGCTGCCACCACCATCTCTCACTTAGACTATTGCAGTAGTCTCTTCAGCCATTAGTCAGTTCTCACAACAGCCAGAGTGATCCTATTAACAACATCCATGTCACAGCCCTCTCGTGACTCTTGTCTCACACAGTGTCAAAGTCCTTACAGGCCGGAGAAAGGCTCCCTCAGTCTGGCCCCTGTTGCCCCTCGGTTCTCATCTCCTATTGGCCCCTAACGCCCTCCTGTCCAGCCATGCCAGACTCTTCGCTTCCTCCAGCCTCAGGCTGTTTCCTCTGCCTACGAAACTGCTTCCCAGGTCATCAGACCTGACTCCTTGACCTCTTTTAGGTCTTTGCTCAAATGTCACCTCCTCAGTGATGACCTTTCCCTGACTAGCCTTTAATAAAGAACTCCTTCCCTGTTTCATTTTTTCCCCGTGGCTCTATCATCATCTGACATTCTTTACTTGTTTATCTTGTTTCTTGTCTGCCTTCCCCCACGGAAATGTCACTTTCACTAGCACCCCTGGCCCACAGTAGGCACTCAATAAATGATTGCTGAATAAATGAGATGGAGAAAGGTAAACACATTCGAAGAAGACAGGTTACTGGAGCTCTTATTAGGGGTCAAGTGGGAAATGTAATAATAAACAAAATATAAAACCCTGTGTGCTATTGAGGCTTGAAGCTAACTGTCAGATTGCACCTACATTGGTAGGTTCTGTTGCCCCTGAAAGAGAAACTGCTAAAATTGCCTGTCTTTGTCACCAGGAGTCACACTGAACTCTTAGTGCCTCTGAAGCAAGCAGGCCTTCGAATAAACTCAGTGAGAGCTCCGATGCCAGGACTCTCTACTCTGGACACTCCATGGCGTTGTGGCTTGTATAATTGCCTAAAATTGTGTCTGCTGAATGAACTTTGAAACAGCTCAGACATAAGAGGATCATACTCGCCCTGCTGGTGTTGCTCAGTGGTTAAGCATCGACCAGTGAGTGAACCAAGATCATTTTCCGGTGAGGGCACATGCCCAGGTTGCAGGCCTGATGCCCAGTAGGGGGAGTGCAGGAGGCAGCTGATTGATGTTTCTCTTTCATAAATGTTTCTATCTCTCTATCCCTCTCCCTTAAAAAAAATCAATAAAAACAGTTTTTAAAAAGAGGATCAGCCCTGGCCGGTTTGGCTCAGTGGCTAGAGCATCGACCTGCAGACTGAAGGGTCCCAGGTTTGATTCCCAGTCAGGGGCACATGCCCTGGTTTCAGGCTCAATCCCCTGTAGGGGGTGTGCAGGAGGCAGCCAATCAATGATTCCCTCTCATCATTGATGTTTCTGTCCTTCTCCTTTTCCTCTCTGAAATCAATAAAAATAAAAAAGAGGATCATACTGTATATTTAATTATACAGATTTAAAGAATTAAGCTATAAATTATAGAGGGAGGTTCTTTGACACCTGATTTGGAAGGTCTTATTCTTAACCCAACAATCCCAGCCAGTGAACAGTTGATTGACGAAAGCTCACTGTGTAAGGAATGGGAAGCTCATGTTTATTTCCAATTCATGCTCAGCAAAGAGAGCAGTTATGGGGATACAGGGACGGTCCTGTTCTCTGCAGGACACACCAAAGGAGCAGTCAGTGTGAAGGGCGATTTAGCCTATTGGTTTGAGAGCTTAGACCACTAGAACCTGACTGCCTGGATCCAAATCCTGGCTCTGCCACCTAGAGCTGTGTGGCCTGTAGAAGTCATTTAGACATTTTGTGCCTCGGCTTCCTGCTCTATAAATTAGCAATCATCAGAGTACCTACATCCCAGAGTTGTGACGAGGGAGAAATGAGTCAGTCCTTAGAAAAATAACAGTACAGGTCTCTGTGCCCTTATCTGAAACCCTTGGGGCCAGATGTTTTCAGAATTGCGAATGTTTCAGATTTGAAAAGGGTGACAAGGTGCACATCCAAGATGTTACATAACATCCTTAGTGAGCTCGGTAATCAGCCGCATTCAGATTTCTGCAGCAAAACGTACGAACAGTCACACTAAGTAGGGATCAATAAACACCGCAAAGGGCCTTGTTTTGTGTCAGATCAGGTTTTGCTGCCAAAATGGTTACAAAAGAAGCCTTCTGTTCTTAGAGCTTTTTGGAATAGCGAATAATAGATTATGGACAAATTAGAAATGAATATTCGTTTAGAGCTTATCATATGCCTGGCATATTATATTTATTCTGTAAATAACCCTGTGAACTAGGTGGTATTATTATTATCCCTATTTTGCAGGTGGGGAAAGTGAGGCACAGAGTTAAAGAACATGCCCAGGGATCGCACTGCTAACAAATTGCAGAAGCAGGCAGGATTCCAGCCCTGGCAGCCTGGTTGTAGAGCCTGGGTGATTGTCCAATAAGCCATGTTGCCTGATTGGAACAGTGCCTGGCATGTATTAAGCACTCAATAAATGGTAGTGTAACTGTTACCACGAAGGAGAACATACAGGGACAGTAGCAGGTCTGAGGAGTGTGGGTAGAGGGACAGAGGAAAGCAGGCATTCGGTTCCAGAAAGGCTTCATAAAGGCAAGGCCCCTGGTGCCAGGACTTGAACGATGAGGAAGACTTCTAGGCAGAGGAATGGAGCCCCACATGGAGTGAACAGCCTTTGAGAGGAGCTGGCAGAAGGAACCTCCTGGAAAACTTTGATGTTTGATGTGGTAGAAAATGCAAATGAAAATGTCCAGGCTAGGAATGTTAGACTAGCTTTGTATTTCCTGCTGTAACAAATAAATTTAGCTGCTTAAAACAACACAAATTTAATATATCACAGTTCTGTCAATCAGAAGCCCAGCACAGGTCTCACCAGATGAAAGCCAGGTGTCAGCAGCGCTGCATTCCTTTCTGGAGGCTCCAGGGGAGGGTGCGTTTCCTGCTCGCTCAGGTTGTTGGCAGAATTCAGTTCCCTGAGGTAGTAGGATTGAGGTCCCTGTTTCCTCACTGGCTGTCAGCCAAGGGCCATTCCCAGCTTTTAAGAGGCCACCACATTCCATCTTCAACTAGCAGTGGCAGGTTGAGTCCTCTCATGCTTTGAATCACTCCTGCCTCTTCTGTCATTGTCTCTCTCTGAGCTGCCTTTCTCCTGCTTCTACTTTTATTAAGAGTTCATGTGAGCCCTAACCGGTTTGGCTCAGTGGATAGAGCATCAGCCTGCGGACTCAAGGGTCCCAGGTTCGATTCTGGTCAAGGGCATGTACCTTGGTTGCGGGCACATCCCCCTCCTGGTAGGGAGTGTGCAGGAGGCAGCTGATCGATGTTTCTCTCTCATCAATGTTTCTAACTCTCTATCCCTCTCCCTTCCTCTCAGTAAAAAATCAATAAAATATATTTTTTAAAAAGAAAGCTTTCATGTGATTAGATTGAGCTTGCCCAAATAATCCAGAATAATCTCCCCATTTTAAAGTCTGTGACCTTAAATTCATCTGCAAAATTCCTGTTGACATGTAATATAATATACTTACAAGCTCCAGAGTTTAGGGTATGGACATCTTTGGGGTGAGGGGGCATTACTCTCTCTACCACAGCCTGCGCTCTGGCCCCCAAAGATTCACATTTATCCCACATGCAAAATTCATTCATGCCCTCCTAGTGCCTCCCAAAGTCTCATCCCATTACAGGGGTCATCCAAAGCCTGGCTGAGAGCTTAGAATTGAGTTTGAGGGTATTTAGGGATTGATGGTGGGCTTTGGGGACAGAGGTGGAAGCAAGATTGCAAGAAAAGAATCCTCCTCCTGCTGATCTCTGCCCCGCCCTGTGTCCACAGCCTCTCAGCTCTGAACCGTCTGCCCTCCAGGTACCCCTGGGATGGCGTGAGCACTCCCCCCGTGATGGACCCCTCTGTGACGCTGTGGCAGTTTCTGCTGCAGCTGTTGAGAGAACAAGGCAACGGCCACATTATCTCCTGGACCTCACGGGATGGCGGTGAGTTCAAGCTGGTGGATGCTGAGGAGGTGGCCCGGCTGTGGGGACTGCGCAAGAACAAGACCAACATGAATTATGACAAGCTCAGCCGGGCTTTGCGGTACTACTATGATAAGGTAAGGCCGCACAGGTTAGGGCAGGGAACCGCCATATTTATATCAGTGATTTCATTTTCTTAACTGCTATAGCTATAACTTGAAACCAACATTAAACTTTATCATTTCTTACCTTATCCTCTGGTACTCTCAGACCAATGTTGGGGGCTCCCCCAAACATTTTATCTCAGTTATTTTCTTGTCTTATTGCCTTGGCTAAAACTTTCAAAGTAATGCTGTCCCACTACACCCCACATAACGTTTCATTTTCTTACCTTATTCCTATAGCAGAACTTTTGCAAATAGTATTAATAACTTTTTCTCCTGTGCTTTGGAACCCCTGAACAAGTCCTAGATTCCTCCAGTTATTTCATAACCTGCTGTTGTTCCAGAATAAGAATTGCAGAAGATTATTCTTCCTAGAATCAAAACCTCCATGACAGTATCATACTAAGCTTTCCCCATCTCATCCTCTGAGACCCTTAACATTTTCATCAATTATCTCCTTTTCTTCTGTTATTCCTTTAGCTAAAACCTCCCAAACAACATATATAATGCCAGCCCCACACCCCATCCTCTTGTGTTTTCAGAGCAACACTGGTCTACCCAGGTGTCTGTATAACTTATTTTATTTTATCATCTTATTCCTGTAGCAAAATTTTCCTCATCCTCTCACACCAGCACTGGATTTGCCCTTTCCCCCAATATTTATACCGGTTATTTAATTTTCTTTCTTTACCTGAAACTTCTAAAACAATATTAATGAGAAACACAAAGCCACCCTGACCAGCATTAAGATGTCCCCAGGGTACTGCAGTGCCACCGTGTCTCTTATCCCCCAGAGCAGCCCTGGACCTATGCCTCATACAGTTCATCATTTATTCCATTTTCATATTTTATTTCTTCAGCTCAAACCTCCAAAACAATATGAATAATGAGGCCACCTCACTGTGCTCTGAGATCCTCTAGATCTGTCCTGAAATATCCCAAACATGCTCTGGGACCCACCTAAGCCAGCCTTGACATTCTCCCCAAATTTATGTCAACATTTTACTGTTCTTATCTAGTTGCTATCAGTTACTTCATTTTCGAATTGCCTTAGCTTAAACCTCCACAAAAGTACTAAGAATGTGGCTCCTCACCCTGTCTTCCCTACTGATCTTGTCCTGTTCCACTTCTGTGTCAATAGCTTTAAATAATCCTCTATATTAGTAATTCATCACCACATTCTTCTACATTAGTGTAGTCTCTTCCAACATTTATATCAGTTACTTCATTTTCCTGTCTTACTGCATTAGCTAGACGCCAAAACTGTGTCCTGGCAGCCACCCCCAAGGTGTGACCCTGTTAACCCAAGATACCCCTGGTTCCTAGAGCCAGGAGGAAAGTCTGCTTCTGCACCTGCTCCCCTATGTGGGCCCATCATGGAAAGGAGCCACTAGGTGTGAGGGGGTGTCTGAGACGCGGGTAGGGGAATCAGACTGATGGAGATGAAGAGTGACAGAGGAGACTTGGAGGGGGTTGGAACGGGGAGATACAGAGAGGAGACAGGGAAACGGGAGAAGGGCAGTAGACTAAAGGAAGAATTGTGGAGGGGAGAATAGAGAAGGGAGAGAAACGGGGGGAAGTACAGAAAGGGGAATTGGGATGGAGAAGAAGGAGGGGAAGAAACTGGAGGAGAAGGGAAGAGCCCCCAAATTGAGGGGGGATGAGATGTGAAATAGGCTGGGAGGGGGACCATATGGAGAGACAGACACGGAGGCGGCATGGTGTATATGTAAAAAGACAGGAGACGGACAGCGGGGAAAAGGCACTAGGAAACACACCCCCTTCACCCACCCACCCCAATCCACACTCTCCTTCCACCCCTGGCCCGCCCTTCTAAGGCCCCCTATCCTGTCTCCTCCCTTCCCAGAACATCATCCGCAAAGTGAGTGGCCAGAAGTTCGTCTACAAGTTTGTGTCCTATCCCGAGGTCGCAGGGTGCTCCACTGAGGACTGTTCGCCCCAGCCTGAGGTGTCTGTCACCTCCACTGTGGCAAATGTGGCCCCCGCTGCTGCACATGCTGTCCCCGGGGACACTGCCTCTGGGAAGCCAGGCACACCCAAGGGTGCAGGAATGGCAGGCCCAGGTGCCTTGGCTCGAAGCAGCCGGAATGAGTACATGCGCTCAGGCCTCTATTCCACCTTCACCATCCAGTCCCTGCAGCCACAGCTACCGCTGCCCCTGCATCCGAGGTCCATCTCAGTGCTTTCCAACACCGCCCCAGCAGGAGCCGCAGCGCCCCCCTCGGGGAGCAGGAGCACCAGTCCAAGCCCATTGGAGGCCTGCCTAGAGGCTGAGGAAGCTGGCCTACCTCTGCAGGTAAGGGCTGGAGTATGGAAATTCAGTAGGAGGGATGTGCAATTTCCTGATGAGGAGGGGTAAGAGAAGGGACATAAACGTTCTATAAAAGGAGCTGTGGTTGGAGGAGGGACGCAGAAGTCCCCTTGGAGAAAGGGGAGGTGCGCTAAGCTAGTACTGAAGGAGATTAAGTGTGCTAGAGTTAGTAGTACACCAACTTGTATTAGGTGTGCAGAACTTTCATATTTGCTTAATGCACTGGTTCTTTCACTTCAGCACTCCCACAATCAACTGAAGGGCTTTTTAACCCACAGGTTGCTGGGGTGCACCCCCAGTGTTTCTGATTATGTGGGTCTGGGGATGGGCCCAAGATTTTGCATTTTTATTTACTTTTATTGATTTCAGAGAGGAAGGAAGAAATAGAAATGACAATGATGAGAGAGAATCATTGATTGGCTGCCTCCTGCACGACCCCCACTGGGGATCGCTGCAAGTCAGCATGTGCCCTTGACTAGGAATCGAACCATAACATTCTGGTTCTTAGGTGGTTCTTAGGTCGAGGCTCAACCACTGAGCCATGCTGGCTGGGCTAGAATTTGCATTTTTAACTAGCTTCCAGACACCGCTGGTCCTTAAAGAAAAAAAATTGTTTAATATATTTTATTGATTTTTTTTACAAAGAGGAAGAGAGAGGGATAGAAAGTTAGAGACATCCATGAGAGAGAAACATCGATCAGCTGCCTCCTGCGCACCCTCTACTGGGAATGTGCCCGCAACCAAGGTACATGCCCTTGGCCAGAATCGAACCTGGGACCCTTCAGTCCGCAGGCGGATGCTCTATCCACTGAGCCAAACCGGTTAGGGCTAAAGAAAAATTTTTGAGAACTACTGTTTTCATGACTTAGGGCAGTATCCCTGGGAGTCCAGCCCTGTCCCCAGATAGGAGAAGCTGCCCCAGAAGCCCTGCTTCCTTGGAGAAGTCTAGCCCTGTTGGAGGAACTGTCCCTTGTTCAGTTATGCCCCCAGTACCAAGTCCCACTCTCGAAGGGGAGTCATTGCTTCGCTACCCCAGCAATCCATACATGCTCCCACCTCTCCCAGGTCATTCTGACCCCGCCTGAGGCCCTGAACCTTAAATCAGAAGAAGCGAATGTGGAGCCCTGCTTGGGTCGGCCACAGCCCCCAGAAGTGAAAGTGGAAGAGCCGGAGGAAGAGCCCCACACCGCAGCCAGTGGGGAGGCGGCGGGGTATGCACCGGAAGCCCCGAGGGCCGGGCGGGAAGTCCCTCCTGCAGAGGGCGCATCTGCCCGGCATCCTGCGGTTGTTATGGAGACTGCAGGGCCGGTAGGCGGCATCGGGGCGTCCACAGCTTCCTGCACGGAGAGCGCCCAGCCTCAGAAGGGCCGCAAGCCCCGGGACCTGGAGCTCCCACTCAGCCCTAGCCTGCTAGGTGGGCCAGGGCCCGAACGGACTCCAGGATCGGCCACTGGCTCGGGTCTGCAGGCACCCGGGCCAGCGCTGACGCCATCCCTGCTGCCTACGCACACATTGGTGAGTGCCTGCGCAGGGGTGGGTCTGGCTCCGGGGACACACACATTGGTTAATGCCTGCGGAGGGGCAGGGGCTGGCTCCCGGGACCGATGGGATTGGTGGAGAGGCAGTAGACCCCAAGGGCCCTCGGGGTTATCTATTGGAGTGAGCTGGGAGGGTGCAGCCTTCGAGGGCAACTGGTTGCAGGGACAGGGCTTGATTAAAGAAGGGCAAGAGTGAGACTCCAAGGCTGAGGGATCTTGGTCAGAATGAAGGGCAAGTGTGGGGAGTTTTGTGGGCGGATCAAAGGACCGAGGCCTTGGGTAGCAACCGTTTCTAAGAGGCATGAGGAACCTGAGTGGGGCTTTTTGGTCTGGGATTTGCTTAGCGGGCTTCCTGTGAGGTATAAGAGTGGGACAGAGGAATTGGAGGTTGAACCTGAGCTATTGGGATGATGACTTGTGAGGTTTGAAAGGGTCGTCCATGTAAAGTTGAAGAGATGTCACAGGCATGGCCTTAGTAGTTATGGTCTAGGCCTGTGCACTTTCCGTGCGTGATCTCGGAAGTCTGAATAGGATTTCTGGTGGGACTGGAACCAAGTTACTTCCGTTGTCCCACTTGCCCTCTCTGCTCACTTGAGCTCCAACCACCCCTTCCCCACAGACCCCGGTGCTGCTGACGCCCAGCTCGCTGCCCCCCAGCATTCACTTCTGGAGCACCCTGAGTCCCATTGTACCCCGTAGCCCGGCCAAGCTCTCCTTCCAGGTAGGCTCCTCCCTCCATCTCAGAGTGGGTGAGAGAACCTAGCACGGCCCCCACCCATGACCTCTCCCTATTTCTGTTCCCAGTTTCCATCCAGTGGCAGCGCCCAGGTGCACATCCCCTCCATCAGCGTGGATGGCCTCTCAACCCCCGTGGTGCTCTCCCCAGGGCCCCAGAAGCCATGACTACCACCGCCACCACCGCCACCACCCCTTACTGGGGTGACTTATGCCCTGAACTTCTCTCCAGCCAGCCGTCTCAAGGAGAAACATAGCTCAGCTGACAGACTTGTGCTGAGGTCAGGGTGGGGTGGGGATTTTTAGGAAGAAGGATGTCTCAATGATTCTTCCACAGAAAACATAGTTTCTCTCTTCTTGGTCAGTCCCCCAGTGGCCGCCCTTACACGTCTCCTACCGCAGTGGTCGGGGGGGCGGTTTATTTATTTATTTTTTGAAGGCCACTGGGAGGAGCCTGGCCCAACTTTTTTGGGGGGGAGTGGTGAGGACATCTCCCCCAGCTCCACATTTTCTCCCAAGATGAGACAATCAGGGTCTGGCTTGAGAAGGACCTTTCTTTATTTATTTCTCAGCCTGCCCTTGGGAAGCTGAGGGAGCCCTGTCTCCATTTTGGGGTGTGGGTAGAAGAGCTAGCTTATTGCGGTTTCTTATTTCTAGCTATCCCCAAGGGTCCAGGAAGAATTTGTGCCATTAAATGGTTTGGGAGTCTTGACCAAGTCAGACTCACACCCTTGGGAGAGGGATCCCCACCCCCAGCCTTTTTCTCAGACAGCCTGTCCTTTGTCGGCCACCTTTTTGGCTGGGGGCAAATGCCCCTTTTCTTCTGTCCCTGAGAAGCCATTCCTGTGTCTGCCAAATTCCTGGGGTCCTGCCTCTTACCTCCCAATGGAGGGTTTTTTTGTGGGAGTGGTCCCCGTCTGGGGGACCCCTCCAGCCAGTACTCCAGGTCTTCCTGTCTCCCACCCTCTGCCATTTTGATAGTATAATCTATTTTTAAACTGGGCTTTTAGACGGGGAGAGGAGGCATCTCTTCCTATATCTGAGATGGGGTGGGTGGGAAGGAAGGGATTTTGGGGGGGAATCTTCCTGCCGCCCCCAAGTGTTTATTTTTGATACCACATGTGTATTTTCAGCTCCCTCCCTCCCAGCCCCCCAATTTCCTGCGGGCGGGTACAAAGGACCCTTTAAGTGTCCCTGGAGTTGGGAGGGAGGAATAGGAGGGCATAAAGCCTGTCCTGTCTGAATTCCAGGCTGGAGAGGGTGGGTTCAGAGGACTCCTGCGCTCACCGCCTGTCAGCACCGGCCCAGCCCAGGCCTGGGGCCCTGGGGGGTGGTGATTTGGGGGACGGTGCTACGCCTGTCTCCACTGTTTGTTTTACTTCCCCCCAAATGGCTTTTTTTTCTAAGAGTACCAGAGAATGGGGAATTGTTCCTGTAAATATATATTTTTAAAGGTGATGCTGGAGGCTGCTTGCTTTTTTTCCCTCTGGGGACTGAGTGTGACAAGCATTATATGTATAAAAGGCAGTGATGGTGTGAGATTGATTGTGAGAGAGAAAGTATGATACTGTGTGTCAGAAACAGTAGTAGAGACTGCAGATCGGTAACCAGGTGTGAAAAAAACAAAAACAAAAACTAGAAAGCTGCGATTGTATATGTGTGTGAGAGAGACTGGAAGTTATAACCACAAACTTGACATTGTGTCTGTATGAGAATTGTGTCTTTGTGTCAGGAAGTCACCATAAAAATGAGTGAGTGATTAAGGTACTGTATAAGACACTGGTGGTGTGTGTGAAGTAATGTTTATGAGAAGGTAGTGGGGACTGCAGACCAGACCAGTCACTGTATGACAAGACGATGATGAGCAAGACAGATTGAGTGATCAAAACAAGGTGTGAGTGCCCTAGCTGGTTTGGCTCAGTGGATAAAGCGTCAGCCTGCAGACTGAAGGGTCCCAGGTTTGATTCCGGTCAAGAGCACATGCCCGGTTGCAGGCTTGATCCCCAGTAGGGGGCGTGCAGGAAGCAGCTGATCAATGATTCTCATCCTTGATGATTCTCTCTTTCTCTTCCTCTCCCTTACTCTCTGAAATTAATAAAAATATATACAAAATTAAAAAAACAAAGTGTGAGAGCCTGTGGGTATAAAAGTGTGGTAGAGCTTGCCAGGGACTGTGTGCAGGTGAAAAACTTTCATTGTATGTCAGCAGGTGGCTCAGTGTCAGAAGATGGATTGTGTGTGAAGCTGTTCATGCAAGGCTGTCATATCACCTAAAATCATGGGAGCGTATGTGTGAGAAGTTGATTGTATGAGAAAATGGCTGGGAGCCTAAGTGTATGTCTGAGACAAAATACGAGAATGCGTGAATACGAGAATCCTGTTCATGTGAGACTAGCAAAGACTGAAGAACTGGAAGAAAATCTGTGACTGGGAGAGTATGAGAGGCTGTGATCATGTGTGTGTGTGTGCGTGCGCGTGTGTGTGCATGTGTGTATGCACATGAACGTAAAACTCGTTGAAAATTAATTGACAGTTAACTACTCCAGTCTAGCCCACAGGTTCAGGGACTGAGAGAAAATGATGAGACTAAGTGTGTCTGAAATGGTATAAGAAGCCACATAACTGTAAGAGATGATAAGTAACAAGTCAGAAAGAAAATTGAGTGAGCAGTCATGTGAGAGTATGTGGGTCTGTGAAACACATTTCATAGAAGAGTGTAAGTCACAGGCTATATTTTTGTGAAAAACTGAGAATATGGGACACTGAGAGACCATGTGATTGGTATGTACAAGAAACCAGCAAAAGCCCTGGCCAGTTTTCTCAGTGGTTAGAATGTTGGCCCACAGACCAAAGGGTCATGGGTTCATTCACAGTCAAGGGCACACACCTCAGTTGCAAAGTTCCCCCGCCCTGGCTTGTGTGTGTGCAGGAGGCACCAATCAATGCACCTCTCACATCAATGTTTCTCTCCCTGCTTCTTCCCCTCTTCCACTCTCTAGAAAATCAATGGGGGAAAAATATCTTCAGGTGAGGATTTAAAACAAAGATTTTAAAAAAGAAACCAGCAAAGCTATAATTATATGTGAATGTATATGATGAGCTGACTGATGAAAATGATGGTGTAAATGGCTGAGACAGGCCATGAGAGGCTGTGTGTCTAAGGCTTATGAGAGCCTAGTACCAATTGTGAATTAGTGACCACAGATGTCAGAAACTGACCGAGGGAAAGTGATGCCGACACTGAATGGGTGACTGAGGCAGTGTCTGAGAAGCCGATTGCATGGGCATGTGTAAAACTTTGCAAGAGACTTTCTTAAAGGCTGTTAATCAAACACTGGTATGTTGGAAGCTGCTTGAGAAGAAATGTGAGACAGGGCGGCAGACAATGTCTGAGGTACTGTGTGATTATGTATGTGTGTGAGACTCTGAGCTATAACCAGAGACTGTGGGGCCGTGAGTGTGAAGAGGTAGGAGAGGGTGGTTTTGTGTGTGTGAAGAAACTTCCTGAGAAGCCAGTGGCGGCCTGTGTGGTTGAAACATCTTATCAATAGGTCTGACTCTGTTGCATGTGGAAAACTGACTGGTGTGAGTAAATATTGGTCATATTGGCCAAATGAGACAGGCTATAAGGCATGATCGTGGCCCTGGCCGGTTGCTCAGTGGTTAGAGCCTCAGCCCATGCACTGAAAGGTCCCAGGTTCAATTCCTGGTCAGGGCACATGCCTGAGTTGCGGGCTCGATCCCCAGTGTGGGGCACGCAGGAGGCAGTGGATCAATGATTCTCTCTCATCATTGATGTTTCTATTTCTCTCTCCCTCTCCCTTCCTCTCTGAAATCAATAAAAATATATTTTAAAACGTCAATGGAAAATATATTCTCCGGTGAGGATTAACAGCAACAAAAAGATATGATCGTGTGTATGAATTGTTAGTAGGAGACAGTCATAAAACTGGGAATCGGTGACAGAAACTTACTCCTTGAGTGAGTGACTGAGAGACTGTCTGAGAGGCCACGTGATCCAGTATGTATGTGAGCCTTTTTGCAAGAGACTACAGGAGAGGCCATAAATCCAGGACCGTGTGTGACTATGTCTAAAAATAGTAAGGGAAAATGACAGACTGAATGCGACCGCATGAGAACACAGACCAAACGAGCCAGGCCTATGGGAAAGTCCTCTCTTGCTTGTCCTTATTCTCCGCAGGCCCCTCCTCCTCAGCCCCATGCTCCATTTCCCCTCAGTTCTCCCAAACTTGAAATGCTGGACTTCCCCCTGGGACTTGACCTGGGTTCCCTTCCTTCTTCTCAGGAACTCTGGTCCAATCCAGGCCCTGGGGACGCTGCTTATTCCCCAACCCCCTTAATGCACACATTTTTCTCTCTAACCCAGACTCTTCCTCTTAGCACTTCACAGAATCTCTAAAGTTTTGTTTATTTCATTTATTTCCGCATTCAGCAAAAAATGTTTATTAAGCCCTGCAGACACAGCAGTTAGCGTGCGAGACAAAAATCCCTACCCTTGCCTTAGCCCAGTGGTCAGCAAACTGCGGCTCTCGAGCCACATGCGGCTCTTTGGACCTTTGAGTGTGGCTCTTCCACAAAATACCACATGCGGGCACACACGTACAGTGCAATTGAAACTTCGTGGCCCATGCGCAGAAGTTGGTATTTTGTGGAAGAGCCACACTCAAGGATCCAAAGAGCCGCATGTGGCTTGTGAGCCGCAGTTTGCCGACCACTGCCTTAGCCGATTTGGCTCAGTAGATAGAGCAATTGGCTTGCAGACTGAAGGGTTCCGGGTTCGATTCTGGTCAAGGGCATGTACCTCAATTGCAGCCTCCTCCTACCATACAAGAGGTAACCAATCGATGTGTGTCTCTCATGTCAGTATTTCTGTCGTTCCCTCTCTCTTCCACTCTCTCTAAAAATCAATGGAAAAATATCCTCAGGTGAAGATTAAATAATAAAAATCCCTCCCCTTGTGGAGCTGGTATTTGAGTGAGGGCCACAAACAAAACAGATACATACATCATACAAGGTAGCAGTGCAATAATTACCGAGACAAGACTTTTTCTCTTTGTTTAAATAAGAAATCTGCAGTCACTTTATTGCCCAAACATACAAGAAGAGATGAAAGCGCCGATGATCCCCCTCCACAGGGAATTTTATGAGTGTTTATACAGCTTAGAAACAAAGGGAATATCAGTTATTACCAGGGCATTATTACCAAGGCAACGGGTGCTTAGATAAAGCAGAAGTACAGGTTTCTTGAATTTGTTTTCACAGGCTAACACAGCGCTGCTGTCTGAAGTCTTGGAATGCTAACAAGCCCTCTTTGTTCAAAGCACGCTCTCTGAGACAGGCTTCTGTTCCAAGGAACAGAGTACATCTCAATGTCAACACACCTTATCGCCCATAAAACAAGATTAATATTCTTGAGAAAGTTCTGTTTTAACGTTAACCTTGACCAAATCAACTTCTTTTACTTTGTTTTAAGTTGGGGGATGCATTTCTCCCTCTGAATGCAGAGGACGTGGCCTTGCTACCTTTCTTAGACACCTCATGGTGACTTTAAAAGTTTCTTGTGTTTTGCCCTAACTGGTTTGGCTCAGTGGATAGGATGTTGGCCTGCAGACTGAAGGGTCCTGGGTTCAATTCCGGTCAAGGCACGTACCTCAGTTACAGGCTTCTCCCTGGCCCGGACCCTGGTCAGGGCACGTGCAGGAGGCAGCCAATTGATGTGTTTCTCTCACATTAATATTTTTCTCTTTCCCTCTCTCTTCCACTCTCTCTAAAAATCAGTGGAAAGATAGCCTTGGGTGAGGATTTTTTTTTTAAGAAAAATTTTAATGCACATTCTTGACTCCAGACCTACAGTGGATAGAGCGCCTGTCTGTGGACTGAAGAGTCCCAAGGTTCGATTCCGGTCAAGGGCATGTACCTTGGTTGCGGGCACATCCCCAGTAGGGGGTGTGCAAGAGGCAGCTGATCGATGTTTCTCTCCCATCCATGTTTCTAACTCTATCCCTCTCCCTTCCTCTCTGTAAAAAAAAAAAAAAAAAAAAAAAAAAATCTGTAAAATACATTTAAAAAAAAAAAACAGAAACGGGTGCAGCCTAGCCATCTATGATTTCATCAACCTTCTGGATGATTCTGATGCACACTAAGGTTTGAGAGCCACTGGATTAGAGAGTGACTGTGGTGCCATATAAAAAGGGTACCTGGGGAAGGCCTCTGTGAGGGAAGCGACATTTATTATCTGTGTCTTCTTTTGGAGTGTAAGCCTCTTGAAGACCAGGATTTGGGGCTGTCATTCTTTGCTACATCCAGTGCCGAGAACAGCATCTGATACCCAATAGGTGCACAGTAAATGTTGGATAAATGTATTTAACAAACAGATCATCTACTATATGCCAGGCACTGTTAAGGACTTGAAAAAACCTTAGCTCCCAATCTTCGCA